GAAAAAAAAAAAAAAAAAAAAAGACATGCGGAGCACCACTACTGTGAACAATGCCCCCCTCCTGGGGACAAACCCTTGTCGGCTCAGCTCAAGGCTTGAAAAGCCAAAGGCCTTGATCCCAGCACTGCCTCTAGGAGGGGCCCCCATCGCTCCAGCCTCAGGGCCCCTGTAAACAGCAGGGGTGCGAGAACGCTCCCCTTTCTGAAAGACCCTGTCCCTGTATCCCCTCACTCCTCAGGTCTAGGCCAGGTCTTCTCTGGATGGGGACAGGCGCCTGTGTGGGTACAATGAGACAGGGGCACAGCCCTCTCTGGTGGTGAAGGGTCCCAGAGCCAGGACCCCACAGACCCCACTGGGGAGAGAGTCTCGGAGATGGTACACCTGGGAGCCTGCACTCCTGCTGCCTCCATGGTCAAAACCTGCCTGGGGCCTGGCTGGGCGTGGCTCAGGGGTTGAGCGTTGACCTAGGATCCAGGAGATCATGGTTCGATTCCCGGTCAGGGCACATGCCCAGGCTGTGGGCTTGATCCCCAGTGGGGAGCGTGCAGGAGACAGCAGATCAATAACCCTCTGGTCACTGATGTTTTTTTCTCTCTCTCCCCCCTCTCCCTTCCTGTCTCTGAAGTCAATAAAGATATGTTTAAAAAAATAAAAAACAAAACAAAGCAAAACAAATCCACCTGCCTGGGCCCAGCCAGGGGAAGGAAGCAACAGGAGATTCTACCCAAAGTTGTTGTTACCGCCCAACGAGGCAGAGTGACTAAGACCAGTCGTCAAGGCCAAGACCTCATTGATGGAAAGAAACAACCACCCCTTTTTGCAGGGGCCCCTTCCAGGGCCACATGGACAGCTCACAGAGCTTCTCAGGGTGCCAGAGACCAGGCTGGCTTGGCAGTCTCCCCGAGACAGAGCAGGTGTGCCGGGGCCCAAGCCAGCCAGGGGCTCAGGGACACCCCCCCCCCGTGTGCACCTGGGGAAGACCCCTTTGGAGGTAACCTAGCCTTCTGGATGCCGCTGCACTCAGCACTTTCTCTATCACACCTGGCACAGCCTGCTCTCTGCTGGTCCACACTGGCCTGACCTGAAGCAAAACCCATTCAAGCCCGGGGAGGAGGAGCCCCTGGGGCAGGAAGATCCCAGCTGGGAGGCCGGGCTCTGGTTTCAGCTTAGGGCCCTCCTTGCCTAACGTAACATTTTACAGAAACCTGCAAACGCTCTGGGATGGAAGACGGGTAAGAAGAGGAAAGAAACTACGAAACAGGGGTCAAGGGACTGGATAACAATACAGCTACAAATTCAGCGACCCACGGGCAGAACACACCCCTCTCCCTGCTCAGAGCTGGAGGGCAGGCCCTGGGAGCCGTAGCGCCCCACCCTGCTCTGGGCACCAGGACAGACCCTTAGGACGTTGGCAGCGCAGGGAAAGAGGGCCCCGGCCGGCCACCCGCCCACACACCTTGACAGTGCTGAGGTCCATCGGGTGCTTGATGATGTCGTGGTAGTCGTGCAGCTCCAGGGCCTCGGCGTCTACCGGCTTGTAGAAAGGCCAGGCGTAGGCTGCGTGCTTCTTGGACAGCAGCTCCTTGAGGATGCTGTCACAGTGCCGCAGGTGCTCCGACAGCTTGCCCTTCTTGCCGGCGTGCTGGGGCACCTCGCCGTCTTCCAGGTCCTTCTTGGGTGGCTTGATGGGCCGGCCCCCACTCTCCCGCCGTGCCACCACCTTGGCCTGCTTGGGGTCCGACAGCGGCGGGGGTGACTCGCTCCGGCTGGCGGTGATGGCGGACGTCGTGGGCGTGGTCGTGTCTGCTTTCCGCTTCACGCCCTTTTTCTGGGACAGCAGAACCACCAGTGAGTAGGTGCCAGGACAAAGCCTGGCCACAGAAAGGCGAGCGGTCGCAGCGGCGCTCTGAAGCGCTGCCGGCCAGGCACCGAGCAAAGCCATGCTGGGCTTGGCCAGGCCCACTCCTCCCAGCTGCCCCCGCGCAACGGGGGATGGAGGCTCCGAGGGTCACGTCGCCGGCCCGAGGTCACACAGCTGGTAGTGGTGAGGCTGGACTTGGAACCTACCCTGGGCTGCCCTCTCCCTTCGTCCCTAGGGCTCTGTGGTCACAGTGGGCTCATCACACCTGAGCCGTGAGGTGCAGCATGCAATCCCCCCCCAACCTAACCAGCACCCAGGCCCGCTGCACCAGGGGCTCAAGAGTCAAGCATTACGGAGATGGCACCGTGACCAGGATCGCCACCAAGCGCGACTCGGGCTCAGGGACAGCCGAGACAGGCAAAGTCCCAGATAAGGGCCTCCAAACTGATGCTCCAAGGACAACTGTACGGAGCAGAAGGGGAAAGCATGCT